CGTTCATTGTATACAATAATACATGAATACTAGAAGTCGAAAATTCGTTGACATATAAAAGAAATAGGTATGTTGAACAAAGCAAAGATAAATGATTGATAATTATTTCATACTAAAACAGAAAAAGCTCACTCTTGCATTTCACAGAAGAAATTATAAAGACTTTCACACTCTTCATCTGGCCAAAGTCCGTGGAACCGTTTCCAAAGGGCAAAACGATTTGATGTCACGTGACCTTTACGTTGACTGGCATCAAAACTGTTGACTTGAATTGGCTGTAGAATAGAAGAGTAAATCAACATGTCTTCCTCAATAATATAAGATATCCAGATCCATTACTGGCCAGATGCTTGTATACCCAAAATATAAACTACATGCAAGTAATTTTTATACCGACTCCATTTTCATTGAAGAAGCAGATTTCTCTAATGTTGAAAGTGTGAATTTGAATTCAAAACGTTGACTGTAAAACAAACCGCTGAAATATTAATTAATTCTTTTGTCAATAGCTTGTTTGTCAATTGTTCGTACATAAGGGATGATAATGTGAATCAAATAAACCGAGAAACATAAAACTCAAATGCTGACTGACGTTTATCATACTAATTGTTAGTCCATTATTTATACACTAAATTGACGACCGATTTTTCCGTTTTTTCCCGATCATGACAAGGAGCACACGGCAGGTGTCACCAGTCAGCAGGGGATGCTCACTCATCCATGGCATTCGATCCCACCTCTGATGTTTTTAGGTCCGTGTTTGCTCTACTCCTACTTTGTATTGTTTTATTGAATGTTGATCTTGTATTCTTTGCGTTATCTCCATTTGTTTCATATACATGTGATAAGGGTATATTGCCTCAAAAACTGGAACCCGTAAAGATCTTTAGTTTTTGAACCCTGTAAAGACATGTAATTCGAAGTTAATATGAATGTTCGAATATGAAAAAAAAAAAATGGTAATAACTATTAAATCATTATGAATTATGAGCCTTACAAGCAGATAATGATCATACCTGAGTTATCCACTGGGATCAATAAATTTTCAGGCTGAATTCTATCCTTTTTGCACCTGTGAGATATTGATTGATTGATTGTTTTTTGCTTAACGTCCCTCTCGAGAATTTTTCACTCATATGTAGACACCACCACTTGCCGGTAGAGAGCTGCAAATTTTGTCCTATACTCGGCACTCAGGGCCATTGAGCAGGGAGGGATCTTTTTCGTGCCAGCGCCTACTGCGACACGAGACCTCGGTTTATACGGTCTCATCCGAAGGACCGGTCTCCACGTCCCACAATGGGATTCGAACCCGCGACGCAAGAATCAGCTCTTAACTTCGCGACTCTAGAGCAGATGCTCTAACCACTGCGCCATATACATGTGTATATTCCAATCTGACACAATACCAAGGTCTCCGTTTTCGTGTTTTGGTTTCAGCTCACAGTTTTCCACAGAATTCAGAATATTTATGAATTACGATGCCAGGATTGGGTCTGATTTTAGTGTTAATTAATTGTTTTAATTGTTGACCGCTTAAAAGCAATAGTCGACGTAAGTTTTTAAACAAAATAGAAGGCGTGGACCTCAGCTTGATATACGGAGCAATAAAACACTTGTCCTTTTGCGATCTCTTAAGAATACTGCTAATATTGTCTGCGTTATTCCGTTGATATCGAATTGAAGTTTAAAGAAAAAAAGGTTGTTTGAGTACTGTTTTCTTTCGTGAACCATGGTGGTTTAATAACCTTAGAATGCAATATTTATCATCACAGATCTGAGTCTGTATTCTGTTGTCGAAGAATCCAAATAAGGACTTTTCTTAACCATTTATTAAAAGCTCTAAAGGGAGAGGATAAAGTGAAATGAAGGATTGAATGATATGAAGATAATAAAGAGTATCCATGCTCAAAAAATCATTTAATTATACAAAATCAGGAGCTGAGCAAACACGGGTTGCTTAAACATGAGAGGTGGGATTAGATGCCATGGAGGAGTGATCATCCCCTGCCGACCGTTCAAACCCATCGTGTGCTACTTGCCAGGAACAGGAAAAAATGGAGCAATCCGTTGACACTTCAGAGCGTATCAAGGCCTGACAAATAGTATGAAAAACTTCAGTCAGCATTTGACTTAATGATAGATTGTATTTGGCTACAAGGTCATTGTATCGACCATATATCTGACGAAATAATGATTTTAAAAGAGACTGTAGAAAGTCCTGTTTCCTCAACGTGTTTGTCAGTAACTTGCATCATTTTAGAAACTGTTTATACGTACAGCATGCTCAAGAATATCGAATCAACTAAGAGGTAAAACCCCCGTATGCAAGTGATCAAGGCACATTGCTGCATTAGTAAGAAAATTTAATTGTTGAAAAATTGAAGTCATCACATTTTACCTAAAGCTTAGTTGTTAGTACAATTCAATGCAATATTCATAATTATCAGACTATGATGTTACATGGATACATTTTGTAGACATATGAATGGAAATAACTATTGTTAACAATGTTCGCTCCTCAGCTTTTCAGCAGTTTGTTTGTCTTGACCTCTATTTGTAAAATTCTACATAATGTTTTGGTCTTAACAATAAATTTTGATTCTATAATGCGAATTAAACTATATTCAATTAAGGCCCCGTAATTACTCAGTATATTCCATACCGAAAACATTCAGACGAGTGATGAACTATATTTTGTGGTGGAAGGTATTTTAGAAAAAAAAAATCATTTTTCCTCTTTTGAACTTATGAGCTTAACAATGGCTGCATATAAAGTTCAAAAGTTTTGATGTTATTGAGTTAGTAAAGACCTCTCCTTATTTTCAAAAGTTCCTTTGAATTTTTAAGTACTAGTATCCCCATTTGATTTACACCACTTCTCAAATATAATTTGTTTCAGAGTGCTCCTGAAGTTTCTCATTCACTGCTGTTAATATTTAAGTGATGAGCAAAGGAAGGGGTTTGGTAGAACATTTACTGGAACTCGCCACATGTACATATCTTTGCAAGATTTTTTTTATGAAGTTTGGAATCTATTATAGTTATGGTCAATCAAATTCATTTTTTGTTGTTTGGAATACTAGTATTAGACAAATTCAAAACCGGCACAAGTCAGTATTTCCTTTTTAGAAAGCTAAAAATGCATAAATTGGTGTAATTCCTCCACCAATTACATCCAAGTTTGAATAAGACATATATTGTAACAGAGTGAGACGAGGATCGTCAAGTGATGTACTTTTTCATTATTGGTATTATTAGGACGTCACATCTGTAACAGAAAACAAATAAAAACATATACAGTGGACCGATATACCAATGCACAGTTAAACTGGTGATTATAATTAGTCTTAAGTTATCGTCTGTTGTCATCATCAGAGATTTTTTTACACTATATAAAAATTGCATTTATTTCGAATAAGCCAAAGCATTCCATGAATAAAAAGATATTTTATCGATGTAAAATTCTGCAGAAAAATTGCGATAAATTTTCGATTTCCGCATTATGTACTTTAAAAAAAAGGTTGGAATATATTAGCTGATTAACAAATATATCTATTGTACCTCACATATCTTTTAGCTCTCAATTCAATATCTTCAAATGAATATTCTTTTTTAAATCGTAGTTTTTTCCCTACTTTCGCGAAAGCGAGGGAACATTCATTTGTTCTTATGTCAGTCTGTATCAAAAACTGTTTACCTTGGCCATTACCTTTAAATGAAAAGAGAAAGGGCATTTGTATTTCACATGTACATTACCTGTTATAAAACCTTATTTAAATATGCTATGATTTTTGACCCAGTGACCTTGATCATGAAGTTTGACCTTCTTTTCAAACATATGAAATTAATTTTAGTTGGTCACTATATATAACAATTGAAAGATAAAAGATAGCTTTCATATCATACATGTATATCACCTGTGATAAGACCTTCCTTTAATATACTATATTTTTTTAACCGTGTGACCTTGACCATTCAATGTTATTTTTCCTCTTAACATTTGGTTGAGAAGATTTAAGGCTTTCATTTTTGACATATACATTACCTGCGATAAGTTGTTTCCAAGCATGCTTTGATTCGTGAACTCTTGGCCCTTATATTTGACTTAATTTTCAAAAATTTAACCTTGGTGGTTAATTTTGAATATCATATGAAAAAGGCCTGCATATTTGACAAATAATGCCGTAAATTATAGCATCTCGCCCATAAAACACAGAAAGCGGGGGACCATAATTCTTTCAATTTGGTTCTTACAACTAAAAGAACAGTAGCCTTCAGAGAAACGTGAACAAAGTTACTGATTTGCAACCTTTAGAATTGATTAGAAATATTCCTGCAGTTCACTACATGCAAAGAACTCAATTACGGTACAATTGTAATATAAAACCTGAGTATGTATTGAATTTCGTTACTGTAATTGCTTTGGTATTGTCTGTCCAATTCTGATGTAATGGCGCAAATTTCTCCCCAAAGGACGTACCCTCCTCAGATTCAATAATAATATTACTAGTATATAACCAATTGCAGTTATGATTCAAATGGCATTGTCAAACGCCTTGTACTGAACTTGGAACGTCACATCTAAAGATCTTCAATAAATATCAAATTTGTAGAATTAAACATTGACCTTCATTTTCGGAAATAGTCCGGTAGCAAAACCATACGCACTAATACCATTAAATATAGCGGTATTGAGAAATTTGTGGGTGAATCTTGTAACACTTTTACTTTGATGTATAATCTGTCACGGTTTAAGAATTAAATCTCTACTAGTCAACCATTCCTTTGCAACACCCCATAGATTTTGTTGTGGATCACCGCGCCTTGATATCGACTTCTCATCAAGGGTCATGAAAACAAAGTATTCTGCCAACAGATATCGACATTTAGTAATTGAATGTCTAATTCCAGGTATTTCATTGGTTTATAGCAAGGACTATCGTTCGCGGGGTGGATGGGATTCGATGTGCTTGACGCCTACCTGAAGTGTGTGAAATAAATATGAAATGAAAGATTGAAACATTAGAACAGAAGAAACCATGTCTTATGTGTGCATTGTGAACGTGTGGCTTCTGTGTGTTTGTGTTTGTAATATTTGTACCGTGTGCACCCCTATTCCCATTGACCCGGTTACAAGCTTACAAGATAATGCAAGTGAGTAGTTTTTCTTTAAATATTGAAAATATGCATAAACTTAATCATTCAAATGCCTTTAAAAATTGATGAAGTATTCATTTGAAAAATTATAGGAAAAAAAGCTATTTACTTCTTTTCATTTTTTCGATTTATTATTTCTTTTAATCATCACCAAAAAATGTCTATTCAAAACAATTCTAAATCTACAAATCTACTGTACTTACAATTTCGGAGCAAAGCACATACTTATTATAAATTATCTGTAGAACGGTCAATATATTTTTATTCGTTGACAAAATTCCAGAGCTTGTTTTGACCCCATATTCTTGGATTTATGATACTTAGTTGATGAATTTGTGTAATTTATAAATATGATTGTAGAAGTACATGCATAATTGTTTCCCAAAAAGTTGCGACAGACAGTAACGATGTTTTTTTCTTTTTACACACGTAATACAGAATTAAAATAAATTTCTTCAATTTTGAGATCTATATCCACGTTGACTCCAAGGAATAAAAAAAAATATCCAAAACAAAAACAAAAATAAACAAACAGACAAACAATACGAAAAATAGATAGTTCAGTTTCTCTCTTTCAAAAGATTATATCTTCAAATATCAAGAAATAAAAAAAAATATCCAAAACAAAAACAAAAATAAACAGACAAACAAACGAAAAATATCTCATTTAGTGGCACTTTGTCACCTAAAGCTACCACTTAAAGGTACCTTATTACCCAGAGGTAAATTTTGAGTTGAAATATAGATTTTGGTTTAAAAATAAGTTAGCTACGTCGTCTCATTTAAATTACGTTTAACATTTTATTTGGCATATGCACGATATATCTTTAAAATGTTTAGTGCGATTTCCTAAACACATTTTCATTGAAGAGAGAAACGACATTTTGCAAATGATATATTGTCCTTAAGGTATATCAATAGCTAAAATTATTTTCTGCCAATATTCGACTTTGAATTATGTTTTGCAGTTTATTGCATGCTTGTTAATTCTCATTTCTATTACGTCATTTGTCACAATCATATTAATTTTGTAAATTCTTGTGTAATTCGTAATTCATAATGTATAAATTGAAACGATTTAAAAAAAAATTCTATTCACTTTAGTCGGGTCTCTATAAAAGCTCTCTGAAACCAGAACGCCATGCTCTAGAGTGTTAAACTTAAGAAGGGATATAGAAAATGTGTAATCTGTGAGGTATAAGCAATGTGCATACCATATCAATTTTAATCATATTATTTTTGACGTTAACATAAAACACTGTAATGTGCACAGTGTATGAGAAATACAGATAAACAAAGTACTTTACGCATTTTGTACATATGTCCATCATACACGTATATTGTTCGTTCTTAATGATTAACATTGTATATATTTGTCTTGACCAGATTTGTTTACTTTCATGTGATTGAAATATGTGAAATTGAAATAATGTTGTACTAATGTATTAGTCTGAATTTGGAATGTATTTTCCGAGTCAGAGTAGAAATATTATGAACAAGAAAAGCAAGTCTTATGTACACACCAAAAGACAGATGATTCAACACTCTATCCATATCCATCTATTTTATTCAACATTTCCATCTATCAACCTTTTTATTTTTTTGGCTACATGTAAATCAAAAAGGCATTTATTGTAAAAAAAAAATCCCACCCTTAAATATTCTATTGAATTGTAATTTCCTCGTAGTCGATTCGGAAATTCTTATTTTTTATTTTGGAACGTACTTAAGCTGAGCGTTCCTTCGATGTATAACTATAAACATTCATGAAATTGCCAGAGAAGACACGGTTTCTCATACTGAAAGTAGATTGTCAATATATTCATACTCTCTCTCGTCATGCAAACTAGGAATTCATAATGTGAAGATGGTAAAATTGGCATTGGGGGGATCCTGAGTTTTTTTTTTTTAATTCAGTTAGTGTTATTAAATTTATAAACGCTGCGGGTTCGAATCACATTGCGGCATGTTTAGACCGGTCCTTCAGATAAGACCGTATTAAACGAGGTCCCCTTGTGGCTGATTTCACGCTGCTCAAGGGCTTAAGTTCCAAAACAGGGTCTAGATTTACAGACCTTCACTTGCAAGTGGGGACTTCTTACATGTAATATGAGCTGAAAATTCTCCAAAGAAATGTAAAACAAACAAAACGCGTTAAAAAAAGATATTCACAATTCCTAGAACGCTAAAGAAGGTATAGGGTACAAAATTAAGCAAAAAATGATCTTCCAAATTTCAAATTTGCATTGAAATTGTGCCTATGTTTTTGATTACGTCACGGCACCCGCCGTCTTTGATTCTATTGCACAACACACCACAATTTCTTTTCTGTTCTTTCCGTGCTTTTGGAATCATTTTCCATTTTATGTATTGGTTTCTTCTGAATTCTTGGCTCTTAACTATCGTCTAAATATTAAAACAACATCTGAATGTTCAAATGCAATTTCGATTCAACATGCAAATTTAGAACGTTTGCCCTTGTAATATATTTCAAAATTATCAAAAATGAAAGAGTTATATCCTTTTTTCCTTATTTTGTAGAGATGTTGGGTTGGGTAATCCTATCAGACATCTTAAATTTTAAATCAGAAAAAAAAAATCAAATTAAAAATACATTTTTATATTAAAAGTCTTTAAGAGCCTTCGAGCATCAACGGCTGCTAGCTTTCTATGGTTGATACTTTGTAAGTTTGAAGTCTATGGTAACTTCCGCAGAACACATCCAATAAATTTTTGTATGTTTCTTTTGCAGTTCTATGATCTAAACTTCCTTTTTTTCTATTCACTTCTTATGGCTTTAAGCTATCTGCCACATGTAAAAAAGCAAATATAATAAAGAGTACTCTAAATAGCGGACCTACTAAGAATTACATTATTACTGGAAGATATTCTTTCTCCTAAAGGAATGATTGTCAGCATTGCAAACGTGTTCAGAATATGATACTTTATATGAAGTTTTAATGATCACATTGATTTGTACTTTAGCTCAAGGTCAATAAATGCATTTCATTTGTTATCTCTTTAGCTCGTTAACAGTGAAGTATAAGGTACGTGCTTTACAGTACATTATATGTACATAACTGATCAAGGTACACTTGTCTCTTATGCTAGTATACATATATAACTCCAGACTAAGGAACTTGTCTCTTACAAGTACTGGAACAGCGCGCTAGACCGCTCGGCCATCTAGGCACTGAATATTCCAATAATCGTAATGTGTAGGGCAGCGCCGCGAGAATTCCATTGGCATCGAAAGGAAGTTTATTGACTTGCCTAGATGGCCAAGCGGTCAAGCGCGCTGTTTATGAACTTTCCATTGGTCAACAGTTTAACCCCTGCTTGGGGCGGAAGTTGACTTATAAAAACATATATATATATATATATATATATATATATATATATATATATATATATATATATATATATATATATATATATATATATATATATATATATATATATATATATATATATTAATGTATGGATAGATACATGTAGATATTGGTGGTGTTTAAACAATACTTAAGATTTATTAAAAATAAAGTGAAAAAGATACATTAAAAATTAAATTCTGTAACAAAATTTAAATAAAGATTCCATGTAATCAATAAAAGCATTAAAGTCTCTCGTATGCTTTATTTCATAATAACGGAGTTTTTATCCGATAAAAAAGTACCCTGAGGAAAACAGATATAGCAGAATGCTGGGAAATCATGCAAGACAAGTATTAAAACATTCCAATAGATACTCAGGTATCATGCTGACTGCGTCTTGGAGTCTAATGTAATCTTTATTTGGATGAAATGTTTTTACTTTATATCATACACAGTAGAAACCGTCTCCCATATCTAATAACACATTTACTGCTAAGGACAAATTAGTGTCGCTAGTAAAATGAACCAGGAACCAGTTTTATCATATCTTGCAGTTAACAGATACGACGTAAAATAATCATATATATAAATGCTTTACAAACATTGTTAATTATGTGACTTTTGTATGTGCTCTGTTATTATCAAATACCCCCTTCACCTTTCCCCTAAATGTAATCTCAACCAACATACAATGAATTTTTCTGTAAAAGATAAGCAGATAAAGATACTCATAAAAATCTCCATTTGAGATTATTTTTGTAGATTTTTTTTTATTTTAGCATTTGATGTTTCTGATGTTTTGGGGGTCCTTGTTTGCCCCGATTCTATTTTTTATTGTTTGATGGACTTTTGAGCTTGAATAATGTTCGTATTATCTCTCCATATTTCATATTAAAAATTCAGCAAAAGGCTTTATTCAGAAAAAAAAGTGACATTTGCAGCCCTCCTCCCCTCTACTACCAGTTTTACGGGCCTGTACATTGAAAGTTATATAAAATCATAGCAACCCGACAGCTTTTTTATCGGTTTAGAGCTCTGCGAGTCAGAGCCTTAATGCATTTGTTGTACTAAGCCTGTTTTTAAAATTTATTTTCTCTTCTGTTGTTCGTAATACAGCAGTCCCGTAGGAAGTTATGTGCTGGCAAACATTTCATTTGAGTCAAATGCTATTATGCTATGACGTATTTCATACTTATTGTTAGTCCATTATTTATACACTGAATTGACGACGGATTTTTCCGTTATTTCCTGATCATAACAAGGAGCACACTTCGGGTGTGACCGATCGGCAGGGGATCCTCACTCCTCCATGGCACCTGATCCCACCTCTGATGATTTCGAGGTCTGTGTTTGCTCTGCTCCTATTTTGTATTGTTTTATGGACTTTGATATTGAATACTGTTCGTTAGCTCCATATCCTTCATTGAAGGACTTACCCAGTAAATATATCAGCATATTGGGGATGCTGGCGCCTGATGTTACCAAGTTCATGCATAGTGCTACAGTGTATGTCCTCGAGGCAATATAGGTGATCCATTTCGTGCTTTTTCCTGAATGGATGTGCTAGAAAATATCCCGTTTAAGAAAGGCACATATTTTAAGGTAAATCTTAGTTTAATCTAA